CGAAAGATTACTTGTAGCCTAAACGAGCTTTAATACAGTCTACGTAAAAGAGCAGCCTTAGAAAATCAACCCGTCAACTAAGCATTAGCAAGTGCGCGTCTATCAATACCATTCTCAAGTGCATTCTACAAACAACAAAATGCCAATCCCAAAACCGATATACCCTTCCGTCTATTCATAAACGAAGTGTTCAAAATGTTAGCACGGGTGCAGCAACAAAAAATGCAGTGTGACCTCACTTTAAGCAGTAGGGTATACAACAAATTCAGCAGTTAGTTAGATCAAAGCAGATACGACTTTCAATCAGCGACAAGGGAGGAGAGTTGTGGTAATCCCACAACAACTAGATGCCGCGATTACAGAAAGACACTTCCAAGACACATCGCTATATTAGGTTGCAACTGTTAAGGTGTTTCCAAAGCAGCATCGGAAAATTAACAGAGAATGGGTATCTATAGCGAAAGCTGCCAGCTTACTGCGCTATATAATTGCTCGTTTGAAAATTGAACTTCCCACCTGTCCTGTGCTATGTTTGCTAACCAAAGCCCATAAGCAATCTGAAGCGGAATTGGCCTCGAACGATCCCTCCACATTCGGAGTACGACCCATAATAAGCGGAATAGGAGAGCCTAGGGATAGAATAGCGTGGTTCATCAACACCATACTCGTTTAACTATCAGATTCATCCCATCGCAAGCCAATACGCAGATGTTTTTGGATCGACTACGCGAACACGTATCAATAGTAGCATTGTGGAATCATTCGACGTGAATGCTTTCTACACAAATGTAAGCAATGAGTGTGCGATGCAAGCTATATGCGAGTGCTAATATGCCATGAAAAGTCCCTGGACCTTCACGGACTTTCCATATCACAAACCATGGCTGTGTTGAAAACGGCTTAGAATGTGATACTTTTCGGTCTGGGAGCTACTTTATGCAAATACGAGGATTAGCGATGGGACAGCGCTTAGCACTGGCACTCGCGATAGCATTTGGCCAGAATAGAAGCGCATGTTCTAGAACACCGTTTCTATGTATGTAGATATATTGATAATTGCTTTGCGATTTGCCCGACACAAGCAGAGCATGATGTGTTTTGAATTACTCAATAAGCAATCAGAAATATAAGACTGGCGAAAGAGAGGCCGGAAAACGATTGGTTACCATTTCTAAACGTTCAAGTGAACATCACCACGGGTAAGCACGTGACGTACCGTAAACCGAGCAATAAGAATATCCTGATTCATTTTCATTCCGCTCACCCACCTTGGATAAAAAGAGCTGCTATCAAGAATATGTTTCGAACAGCTTTGCAGGTGTGTAGTGGAGAGAAGAAAGAAAAGAATCATTCGAGCTTGCGCATTAGGTACGGGAACTTCAACTTCAACGAGACACGGAAAAAGTCAGCGAGACCAACCCAACGAAAAGATTCCTTTTTTACCGTTCATTTCCACCGAAATAAGTACAGCAGTGCGCAGAAGCCTTAAGAAAGTAGGATTGATTGATTTGGCTTCGATGGTAGAAGTGCCTTCGAATAACTTGAAGTGCATTTTGGTAAGAAATCGCATGTATGACAGCAGCTGTACTGCGGACAATTGTATCATATGTCCAGGAGAAAGCGGAGTATGTCAACTAGGTGGTCTACTCCATCTCCTGTACCGCCTGCGGAGGCGAGTATGTAGGTGAAACCGCACGTCCCCTATGTACAATACCGCTCTCAGAACGTGCAAAATTTCCGTGAATGTCGCGGAAACCCCGGAATTCCGCGAAGGACCGCGAAATTTTCGGAATATCGCGACATTTCCGGAATTTCGCGACATTCCGGGAATTTCGCGGAATTTTCGGAATATCGCCATAACTTCCTTCGGAATGCATAAATTCTGGATCTGAAACAAGAGTTATAGTCAGCACATTAAGGCGAATCTTTTGGTACCTTGCCTTACCGTAATTGTCGGGGCACGATTGGTGCACGGTCTGAGATGAATTTTGCATTTTGGGAGAGGGGAGGTGAACACAATATTCTTGTCTGTACTCGAACCCACCCCTTCTAGTAACAAATAGGTGCTTGAAGCTACTAAACAAACAGAAGAGGGGAAAAACAACATCGACGGCATCATCACGGCATGTTCGCATATTTCAGAACTAACCACACCCAATAACACTGATTACTCCTCCCCCCTCCCCCCTCCCTAGAATTTCAGAAAAATCGCAAAAGGATTCACTTGCTGCCGTACACCCACGTCCTCTCTCCCAAAATGCAAAATTCATCTCAGATCGTGCACCAATCGTGCCCCGACAATTACGGTAAGGCAAGGTACCAAAAAATTCGCCTTAATGAGCTGAGTATAACTCTTGTCTCAGATCCAGAATTTATGCATTCCGAAGGAAGTTATGGCGATATTCCGAAAATTTCGCGACATTCCCGGAATGTCGCGTTCCGGAAATGTCGCGAAATTCCGAAAATTTCGCGGTCCTTCGCGGAATTCCGGGGTTTCCGCGACATTCACGGAAATTTTGCACGTTCTGAGAGCGGTATTGTATTCGTATAAATAAACAGCGAAATTCTAATCCTTTACGAACGCCAGTGTACTAAGCCATGAAGGATCGAGTTTTGAAGTGACCGTAAAAATACTAGTCGTGAACCTAACACGGCTGCTCGCAAATTTCTAGAAGCATGTGGATTCATACTAGGGACCCACATATTAACCGTAAGAATGCCTCGCAATCACGAGAGAATCATCTCTTTATCTGAGCCAACTTACTGACCTTCCATTTAGTACTTCTACGGTCAGTTTAGCGGTCGTTCTACCAAGGGAATTGTTTGTGTGGTGAGTAACTGTTGCAAAGCTACTGGCCAAAATTGAGGCTTAGACCTTTTTCGTAAGGTCATAAAGATATTTGCCCGTCTACGAGTCGACACTTCATTCAGGCTCTGGCGAAGCGAAAAGCCGAAACGTTGGCCAATAAAGTTTCAATCTCGGCGTTGGCTACAAGACATCGATCTCAACTTATGAACTATGCCGAGATTTATCGAGAGTCGTACATGCTATTTACTACATGTATTTTGTTTGCTGAAATTCTTTTTGGAGGCAAGTAAAGGGGCGTGGAGGTCACAGCTTTTTAGGGTTGTGCCATACCCCATTGACTTACCCTCAAAGCATTCAAATCTGTCTTTTTTATGTGGTTGCTACTGCTAAGCCTTCTTTTCCACAAATCAGGAATTTCATTTCAAAATTGTTTATCCTAGGGAAAGATATAGTCGTTTTTCCTTAGCTAAGCAAATGGAAAATAATGCGAAAATATTGAATGACAATAATATGCTGAGTCTGCGCTACAAGTATATTCGATAGCCTGATCCTCGCAACCTTTACAAAAGTGATTTGAGTCTGATTGATCGTCTCCGGTCTGACAAGGGAAGGATCATTGGTCGAAGTGGCCTTTTGAGATGGTTGTATACCTTGGTGGAGGGCATAAAACGCTGATTCCAAATCTGTCTTCCTTACCTGCGGCGCGCTCCTAGATGAGGAGTTGTGAGCGCAAAGGAGCAAAACAATGAGTGTTTTTCTGGGATAAAAACAGTTGCTAGGATTTTCCCAATGCTTAATGAGACAGCCGGAGTGCGGAATCCCAACCGAGAGCACTTATTTTATAGAGTGCTGGAAAGATACCACTGGTCCATTTAAGCGCTAGGAATAATATAACTACAGTTTCTACATTATTTGCACATTCAATTTTTTTCTCCAATAAACGCTCATACTTCTCGTGCAGGAACGCGCCGCAGATAAGGAAGACAGATTTGGAATCAGCGTTCTCAAAAGGCCACTTCGACTGACCATCCTTCCCTGGCAAGGAAGTCCATTTTCCTTTTCGTGGATATGATTCCTGAACAAGTTAGAAATTTGAAAATGGTATGTACCATTATGGATCAGCTAATCTGACCACATATTTGACCCTTAGTGATTATGTATTGGGTTGTTGCAAAAGTTCTACCCGTTTTCGATACCTTTTTTGAACTGCCGATTTTGGAGGAAGAAACCATTTTTCATAAGCAGCGCTTACATCATTCAAAAGCTCTTTTCTTTTTTAATGCATATTTTCGTTTTCAGAGATCTTTGTTCGCTATGTAATTGCGCTTTGAAAGGAAAACGAAACAAATGTGAAAATTTTCTCTTCACTTTATCGCCGTGAAATCTACAGCCAAAGATGAAATTCCTTGAAAACATACATAATGTTTGCTGGAGACTTCTGCTACGAAACGCTCATCGAGAAACGATTTCAGAAAAAATTTTGAACCTACAAATTTTTAGCTCAAACATAACCTATCTTTATGGTCCCTTCAAGTCGCATAAAAATCATAAACATATTACAATCGGAGATTAGAGCTAGAACAACTGCTACTAGAAGAACTAAAAGATTTCCTGGTTTGTCTACGACGAACAAATCAAAAATGTCAGAAAATTGCATTTTTTGCCGCCTCAGAAAGAGCAAAATAAGTGGGTCCTTTCGGATTTTTCAGCACAAAATTTTTATGAAAGAATTTGATGAAATCCAAAGTTAGCGATACGGCTCAGTCGACTATAGGCTACACTGTGAGCAGTGCTTGTGCAATTCAGCTACATTCCAAATCAAGTTATGCTTTTGCAAAGCGAAGGTTTCTACAAGGAGATGTTCTTCGATTTTTGCCTATATAAAATCTTCTCCACTGTTACTGCAATAATCTTAAAGAGTGCTCAGGATAGCCAAAGATTTGCAGATTGTAATACGGTTTTAGCAATTGCAAAGATTATTTCTGAGAATAATTATGATGAATCAAAGTTATAGTTCGAAAACGGGTAGAACTTTTGAAACAACCCAATACAAAAGAGGAATAGATTTTGATACGCCGCATTTGTCCGCATATCGGGCTAATCGTTGGTTAAACGTTGCTATGTGTGACTCGTCCTAACAATATTCTTGGAAATTCCCATATGTGTTGAACTATGTGTTAAACGTTTACTTCGTGAAATCGTTACAGATGAAGTGTACGGATTTGCGTAGAGAAACATTGTTATGAAAATTATACAAGTAAATCCTCCATTCATTGTCAGCTACTAGACTTGATGCAATGCTGGTCTTCTTGGAGTGCCTTTTGCAGTTTCTATTTCCCAATCAAATGGATTGTTCACATTTCCACCGCTTACTAGAGCACCCTATGAATTTTCTTTTCTTCGGTGTTGGGTACGGAAACACTACTTACTTCTTCTATTAGCTTGTATATATAGGAGTAGTCAACATGGTCATGATAATGTAGTGTGTCTAAGTAATCTAAGATTTTTCCAAGTTCTTCTTTGCACCTCATATTTCCAAATTGAGCATCCTGAAAGGCAGTGATTATGTGATCAGTATGCTGAGATGCATTGGCACACCCTTTTTTCTTTTCGTATCTCTTCCTTCATTCTCAAAACCTCGTTCTTTTCGCTGTAAGCTTTCCATAGTAAACCTGCAAAAATGCGTCAAATCAGAGTTCAAGGTTTATTCAGATTAGCAATACTTGGACAGGCACCGTAGCTGTAAACTGGTCCAGAAGCGGTGCGAATCCGGCGCACATATGACAGCTACACTCTGTTCCAATCGGGCCAAAATTGGCATGGCGGAAGTCCGCGCGGCTAGGGTGGTGCGTCACGCCCACGTCCTGCCTTCTGCTCTCTCTACAATCTCCTCGCTCTCGCCGACGATGTGCATACTCAGCGCAAATCTCTAGCGCTGTGACGCGCCACTTTGAGCCAACGGTTCGGCCTGTTACCGATCGGGACAGACCGTATTTGACATTTAGTGATGCGCTTAGCGAAATTTGAGGCAGCATTTGCAGCGGAGTTCGCTACAAGAAGTTTAAGCGTTATCTCATATGTATTACTTCCTTCACATTTCCCTCACGCGAATATGCCAAATGCTCGTTATTTAGCGCGCCACCTCTGCATAACCGGTTTTGGACCGATCTCTAGGTTTTTCGCGCAAGCTTGCAACTTCAAGATCAAAATATAATTTTCTCACCCTGTGGCACTGTAATATCAAGTAGTAAGTAAAACCATGATTCACAATCGTCTTTTGGTCCCATTTCAGTATTTCTATGACAAGATATGGAAGCAAAGGGAATTGTGCCCTAGAGGAAAGGTTTGCGGTTCGATGTGAGAGGCGAAAGACACAACACCTTAAATTTTACTGTCATTCGTGGAGTTTTCAGCTCTCCCTTATCATTCAAAATCCTTCGAGCAATTCCGAAATCGAGGATGTAAATCTGTTAAAATGAAATTTTTGTCGGTCTAGGCGGGCATAAAAGTCTCACCACATGCTTCTTATCTCTCAGACCACAAGCGTAATTAGCAGGTTTTAAATCTCGATGTATGAAGCCGTATTTGTGAAGATCTTCGCAAGCTTCTAGACACTGTATGGATGCTCCTAAGCCGGTAGAAACACTGAATACCTGAAACGGATCCTGAGTAAAGAAAATATCGCACAAATGTTGTGAAACGAACTCGTCCCGGTCGTTGATTTTTTAAGTCCGCTAAGCTTTTGCCTACTAACTCCATAACCAAGAAAAAGTACGTCTCCTTCTTTCCTCGGTCCACAATTGTAGTAAAATGTGATTGCTTGCGTTCTTGTGACACAAGTTTCAAAATTGCTATCTAAAATGCCATATGAAAGCGAAAAACGAAAACTGGACAATTGCAGCTTGCCTCCATCTTCAGTTTTGAATGCTTCCGTGTTTCGAGTTTCTTTTCTACTTTCATTGCAAATACTTTAGTGGGGTCTTTCTGGTCATGAACTCTGGAAAATCCTTCACAATTAGAAAGGATTCTGTCTCATTTACTACAGGCGCGTTTACCATCTATCTCATCGGCAGTGGTGCCGTCTCAAGCGGTTCTACCCGCGAAAGCCCCTCCTCGGCCTCCGCACCGCGTTTGCAACCTGTCGTCTGATCATTTTCCCACTCCTGAGCATGGGAGCTCAGGGGCGAGCTTCAACCAGTAATTAGGCCTGGGAAAATTACCAAAAAGCACGTTTGCGATGCAATGCATAGCTTAAAGGCAGTGTCCGGGCAAAAACTCGATTTTGAGATTTTGTGCTTATACGGGCCTATTCGCCATGCTGAATCCGAAAATCCACATTGGAAAGCGCGAAGACGGCGAAAAAGGGCTCTAATACAGGAGGGAAATCAGCAGGTGGGCGGGGCTTTCCCTAGTGCGAATTCACGCTCCCAGCTCCCGGAGCGATTTTCTTGATTCCGCTAGCCGTCCTAACATCGCTACCGGTCAAGTGCGAATGATTGACTTGAAACCGGAAGCGAGAAGGTCGCTCCGGAAGCCGGGAACGTGAATTCGCAGTGGGGAGGACCCCGCCCACCTGCTCATTTTCCTCCTGTGTTAGAGCCGTTTTTCGCCATTTTCGCGCTCTACAATGTGCATTTTCGGATTCAGCGTAGCGAATAGGCCCAAGTAAGCACACAATCTCAAAATCGAGTTTTTGCCTGGACACTGCCTTTGAGTACCGCGTCGTGCGGGATTCGACCAACTCGAGACGGCGCCACTGTCGCTGAGACAAGGACATCTACAGTTTTAAAGCGCGAACATCATGAGTGGAGCAACAACCCGCCTCGCTGAAAGTGTGAGCGCAGTGCGCACATGAGAAGAGTAGACGTGCATGTGTCACGCTATGATGGTATGGTTAGGCAGCATCTCAAACATTCTTGGTACTTCTTCGAACTCACTTGAATACTGCTCCAAATCCTCCTTCTCCAAGCAACTTAATAACAACGTAGTTTGCTTTGCTCGAGTCAATGACACTGCCCTGGAACGATGGAGCCTTTCGTCTACTATTTCGAATGTGGCCGCGAACCGGCTTAATTCCAAGGTCGTCTTCTTCCTCGCTACTCATGTTGGTGTTGGTGGCACTGCGGGAACGTTGGAGCTCAAAATGAAGAGTCTCACCAAAACTGGTATTTATATATGGACATTTTCATCTGATAATGATAAACATTGGCTGATTACTTCATTCAGCAAAATGCTACTGCAGCAGAGCGACTTTGGATATCGATATATTCGTGTGTCTGCAGGATTTTGAGAACAGTGCTGAGATGGAGATTACGGTACTACACAATTGTTGACCTATATTTTCAAAGGTCACTTGGCAGGCTGATCACAAATCCTTTGCACGGTGTCATTTGATGGGATCGCCTAAGCAAATTTAGGATTTATTAAGTAAGCGCAAACAGTGACGGAACGTCACTGCGGACGCTTCGCCTGTGTGACCAAGCGTTCTCATATTTCCTTACCGCCTGCTGTCTCTTCTGTGCAATAGCTATGTAAATGGGACGCAAGGCTGTCCACTCTCTGCGTGCGATGACTCGCCTCTATCTAACACCCATACCAAACATAACATAGAGAAGAGACGCTTCATGTAGATAATTTGATATTCGTGATCAGTGTGCCGGTCTAGCTCTCTGGTCACAGCTCTAGCAATGCAAATTTTGAATTTTAGCGTTGACTCTCTGAGGGATACTGCTCTCTTCCTGGCGTGCCCTTTGATTCAACGGGATTGGCGGCTGGAAGGGAGGGGGTTCGAGGTCTAATTGCTAGAAAATGATCAGAGATTACACTCGCGAGAGAGGCAGGCTGCGTCGCGGGTGCGAGCGGTCCAGTCGTCAATCCCTTCGAATCAAAGAACATATTGCTAGACGGTACTTTTCTGCGTGTAGGTTTTTTGTGGAATAACCGTGTTGGTCTAGTACTAGACGCGGCGATGACCAGCTATAGTTGGAGCATGTTGGTTACCGGATGCGGGAAATGCATCCGCCTACGCAGCGCGCTCGCATGCGCTTCGTGCTTGAGCGTTTGTCTTGGTTTAGAACTAGACAATAATTCTTCTGCCTTCCACATTTCGACTAAAATCATAGCTTAATCTGCTCACATATTTTCAAATCAAAGAAGTTCGACAAACATGAAGACAAGAATTCTTCTTTCAAGCCATGTCGATGTCAGCTCGTCGGTAGGGCACACATATTGGTTACAATTGAAAAGTTCAGGTGGAAGCTAGAACTAGCCAGAGAGTTAAAAGATGCGACTGAAGTGTCCCTGGATTGACGCCACCAATGAAGAGCGCAAGCTGCGACGCTTGGGGATCGTTCATACCGCGGACGAAGGCGGACAAAGGCGGACGAAGGCGGACGAAGCCGGACGAAGCCGCACAAAGGCGGACGAAGGCGCACGAAGGCATGTGTGAGTGTGTGTGTGTCGAGAGAAACGAGACGAGGCGAGTGTGAGTGAATGTTTGTGTGTGTCGAGAGAAACGAGACGAGACAAGACGAGCCTTCGTCCGCCTTTGTGCGGCTTCGTCCGCCTTCGTCCGCCTTTGTGCGGCTTCGTCCGCCTTCGTCCGCCTTCGTGCGCGGTCTGAACGATCCCTTGGCGGGAGCGTCGCAGCTTACGCTCATACTTTCCCGCCGCTAGAGGGATACTATGAGCGCTACCGAATGAGCTGTCTTTACAAGGTAGGCTTTGGGGCAGATGCTTATATCCAGGACCAAAACTTGTTCCAGCTTTGCTATCATAATAATTTCTGAGTGCAGACAAGGAGAAAAAGGGCGGGCATTTCAAAGCCGTCACGTCGCTGAAGGCTGTAGGTATGAAGTTCGTATGTCGATTCTGACAACAAAAGTTGGAAAGCCTAATCTGAAGGAGATTTTGGACAAACTGAGTTGCTGCAGCGGAAATCCGGTCATGTCATTCAAATCATGGTGTGTTATTTTGCTTCCTGCGAAGTTTTCCACAAGTCTGCAAAGCCCACCAGCGTTACTTCTTTCGAATTTACTCATTTCAGAGTACCCTAAAATGCTTGTTTTTTCAGACGCCATCACCTGCCGGACGGTCATTTGTAGCAATTAGTCGTAAGTTGCCGTGTTTCTGTTTTAAATCACTACGCGCGAAAATTTGGAGTTCATCTCTCGTTGCAAATCGATTTTTCTACTAGCTCTAATGTTCGTTTTTTCAGTTTTGCGGAGTTTTTCTGTAGCACTTGATAATTGCATGAGAGAGTTGACTTCATAGGCTTCTTGTAGTGTGCTATTATCTGCAGCCATTTGGTTCCAGACTTTTGCTTTTCAAGTTGGTAACTATGCAACACGCTGAATGTCACACATTGCTGAGTCTCCGAAGTTGAAACACAAGAAGATGCGCTATAAAAAAGGTATGTTTTTTGCGGTTGAGGTTTGGAAAGTCTGATTATATTCTTCTGCTTGAATACGTATTCGATAAGTCTTCTTCATCCATTCTCTTCTTTGTATAAAAACGACACTGTTTCTGGTTTTGTACGACAAATACTGGCTATATCGTCTTTTGTGCTTGCTACATAATGGGATTGCCTTCCACCACACTCCCCACTTAAATTCCGGGTGTTATTTCCCACCTATGTTTTACTACAACTAAGTCAACTAAGTTTTACTCTCACATCGGACACTTTAATTTGTAAGGTTTTGGCTCTTGCATTTCCTGAACCTCATCACCAGCACCTTTTTTCTTTTCTGGCAGACACTCCCATGACTCTTCATCAGTATGAATTACGCTTTTTCATTTTCCCTCAGTCAAGCATTTTCGCATGTCCTTCTCCGTCTGTGTGTAATCGACGATGTGCTTTATCATCTACGAGAAGGTCGCACGTTGATGGACAATTATCTGGCGTAATTTAGCGGTAATGATTCGAAATTACGGTTTCATTTCTCTTTGCAGTTTTATTCCACTTTATGCTTTATCTAATTTTCTTGGTTGAGCCGCGACATTTCTCTTTTGGCTTTATTCCAGACGATTTGACATGACAGTTTTTGTCTATTTACGTATCTCATTGCATGTGGAGGTGAGCTATCGGGCAGTACCACTCCTATCGCAGAAATTTTCAGAAGAGGTTACGTCATCGAATTTTTCTTGGAGAGTGTGACTACCAGAATTGGCTTATTCCCAAACATGCATAATTCAAATCGTTAATTATTCGAAAATGAAAGGGAAGCACATTCTTAAATTTCAATCTCTTCAAAAACGTCACCTCTTTCGCACTTTCCCCTTCTAATTCACAGCTTTCGCCTTTGCCATCTTCACATTCTCACTTTCACCCGGCAAAAGTTCAGTTGCTTTTCAAAGACCTTGAATTTTACCCATTTCGGCATGACCATACTTTGCCGATGATGCGATAGAAAGACAACCCACAACTCTACAAATATTACATCTTCTCCTGTTACGTAGCAGAGATGTTCGTGTTGAATGGGCGTATAACCAAGTCGCCGGTACTTAACGGCACAGCACGCACGGACGACCTCGAGACCTTCCAAATAAGCAATTTCCAAAAAATCTATAGTTTTGTGAGCGCAGATCCGCCCAAAAACACCAGCAGTCATAATTCACTCATACCGTAGTATTTTATTCACTCTGTGGTTACTGTTTAGGTTATAGATGACTATGACACTACTTCTAAAAGAGAGGTAATTTGGTTGGGGAAAAGACGAAGAAGGAAATTGTTCGAGTTCTTCTGTCTATTATTACTCGAATTCTTATTCACTTTAAAGCTATAATAAAAATGGAAAGTAATTAAAAGCAGCAGTTGGTTGGTGCATCATACTTTTTTGCGGCGTTAACATCTTTAACTAGGAAATTTGGACCTCGAATTGCTTAAAAGAATTCTTGCTTTTAAGAAATAGAGCTGGGTCTTTGCAATATAAAGATTATTTCTTGAGAGAATACGGGCTATGCAGGATGTTTCAGTCAACGACGAATTTCGCCGAGACACAAAACGCATTCGCTCCGGAGGCTCGCCCTTGAAGCAGCGTAACATATCTATTTCTGTTTCATATGTTGCTATTTTGATGAATCTTGCATGCGCCTAAATAGCTGTACAAATTTCGAGAACCTCTAGACATTCGCATATATACGTTAGGAGAAGTTAAAATAAAGCAATCTCGCCGTAGGCCTAAGGCATACCTCGCGCGATTCCAGTCGCTGCGCGATTCGGCACAGAAGCGACGGTTCGTAATTGGTCGTTACCGCTTCTGTTTGACCAGGGCCTGATCCGTTTGCAAGAACTTACGAAAGCTACGCGCCTATGCATTTGAAAACCGACCACGACGAATTTGAAATCTGGCAGAATGCCAAGTCGCGTGGACGTCGCGATTTGGTCAAATCGCGTGAGGTATGCCTTAGGCCTAAAGGGGCGGGCATAATTCACGCGATTTCAGTCGCGACGCGATCTGGCAATTCGCCCGAAGTCTTCGGATCTAACATTAGCAAACTGCACATGCATGGTGTAATTAACTTACGTAAACTGATGAAATGCCCTATCTTCTGTACATTTATAATGTGCTTAAATGAGTTATGGACACCTGGAATATTGCCATATCGCGTCGCGATTGAAATCTCTTGAAGTATGCCCGGCCCTTAAGGCGACTAATTGGAGGAGGTGGTGCGCTTCATAGTACAGGAGCACTACTGAGACTCACTAAACCATCTCATTCCACTATACGTCGCTAGTGTTTTTGTCACTCATTAACTTGCATTGTTACTCCTCAACTTACCTACTACTGTTACTGTACTCCAGTGATGTTTGTTCTCTTCTTTTAGGTGCCCTTAACGCACCAAGAAGCTGTTGTGACCGTAATCGTGGCATTCCTTGCAAAAATGCCGGCTTGCTATGCTCATAAATTACTTCGTTAGCTGTTAATGACTGATGCCTCATATCTTATGCTGGTTGCTAGCGTCCATTAATATTCACCAGCTATCTGCCACTTCCCAAATTGATTTTCTCTCCATCGCAAGCTTGCGAAAACACCTGAGGTTCATCCACAACTACTTCACTGCGTTCAGACATTTACGTCTTTTCAGAAAAGTTTATCACTTGTTGAATCGGTGCATTTTATTCAACAAGATCACCTCATCAGACCCCAGCATTTTTGAACTCTTCATGATATTCTTACGTTTGATTAATTTTTGGCCTTGATTTATAAGCGAAAAAAGTGGTTCAATTTTTCAATGCTTTGATCGTTAAAGATGCAAAATGATTGCATTCTTTTCTCATTTTCAAGGAGTTGTTTTTATCAGACCTGGTACATCTTGGCCCAGTGAACTGCAATTTCCCAAATAGGCCCTTCTCAGCCAACATTTAGTAAAATCTCGCCACTGGTGATATCATAATTATTCTAAAAACTGGAGGCAAAAGCAAGACTTTTCTGAAGATTACTTCATATTTCGTTACTTATTTTGCAGGGTTAGAGGTGATCGTTTGAGTAGCTCAAAGTCAGCGCTACATGATTAATCTAGCTTTTTTTTCGAATGACAAAAAATCTGAATGCAAAAACAGAGTTGCCTTTTTCATGGGGTTTTTTTTTTCAGAGTCATTTACTAGAGAGTTCATAAAATTCACTGCTAGAGTGCTACATGTTACCCACATAGGGCAGAGCAAGTTCTGTGCGTTTGCTTTCTCTTCAAAATTTTTTATGAACTACTTTACACTGTTTACAAGACCGCTCGAGTACTCTTTTTCTATATCAGTAGCGCGCAAAAAAGATGCTGGCTATTTTTTTCCAAGAAGTTTTTCTAGGGTACATACTCACTAGAAAAACTCCAAAACGTAACTTTGGGTGGTAAAACCCTTTGTTGGCTTCAAAAATGGAAAAGAGTTGGTAAAACACCTCGTGACGCCCGTTTTTGCTATTCGTCTAAAGGTGGCAGTGTATATTTCATGATCAAGCGTGCGACTATAGGTATTTTACATCTTTCATGTGAAAGTTCACAATACCTATAGTCGCACGCTTCAAAATCTCATACTGGCTGCATAGTGACATTATTATCACCACTTGTTCTACCAGACAGTCAGTGAAACTGGGAATCCCAGCATATTTCTTTCCAACGCGCTGTACGTAGCAGTAGAGTTTCTCAGAAAAGAAATCCGGAACGCTGTAGAGAAATTTCATGGTTTTCTCCAGTTTTATGTCTCCGAGTTAGTGGAATATCTGAGAGCTGTTCCCCGATGTGAAGCAAAGCTGAGAAATGATTCAAAAGCAATTTAGAAGTTTTAATTTCATACATAAACACCTGCAAAAAATAGAAAGTTGTTAAGTTGCGCCACTCAGCGCGGCATTTCTCTCTCTCGTATACAACTTGTACCCGTCTACTCTGTTCGTTTCCGATTTACGCCTCATCACTGGAGAGGCGCTACAGTGATATGCAGTAAATCAGGCACATTGGTACGAACCGACTACATTTTGCTTGAGTTGTTACCCGGTAGATCTCAAAAAGACGACTCTGATGAGTAAACTTCCATGCGCGGTTTCTGTAGCACGCACGTGACGTTTATAAAAGTTTCTAAATTTCTTAAAAGGAAGAAAATATCGTGATTGTTTCGCATAAACGCTTTCAGAACTGAACCGTCTATGATGTCGTCTATACATCAAAAAATTTTACTTTGCACCTACTGCAGCAAAATGTACGTTTCACAATAATGCAACAAGCTGGAGTTGCTGCGGATTACTGGTGCAACATTCGGGATTTTACACTGATGCAAGAGCAGGCTGAAGCTATCCCATAATGCTGTGCAACTGGAAGTCCCACAAAATTGAACGCGCATCAATATTGCAATAAGTGTTCCACAAGCAAGTTGATATTGTTCTGCATAATACTGCAGCATTTGCACCTTTTACGGTAAGCAACAGCAGTTGACTTTGACACACCACAGTGCTGCACAACACTAAAGGTTCCATAATGGAGGCAGCGTCCGGGCAAATTTCAACATTTTCGGCTACTATCATGATTAAGTACTAGGACCTCGATCTAGAACTCTCAACCCGCCCTTCGAACACTCCTCTCAAACGTTGACGACCGAGCCATTTTTGAGGGGTGTATGTCAAGAGGCGCGATTTTTATTGCCAGCTGGACACCAAATAGCACAAAATAAGTGTTCTGCAACTTTCTAAAAGTGTATGAAATTTGCAAGAAGATATATTAGATAGTTGCATGAGCTGTTCAATCTTGATACTTTAGAAAATTTCAAAAGAGCAATTTTGAAGGTCAAAAACTCATGAAAATACATTTCAGAACAAATTCGTAAGTATTTCATTCCGATTTATAGCAAAAACCATGAAACTCAGCAATTGGTGACCTCAGGCAGACAGTAAGCTAATGCACTTTATCTGGTAATTTTTGAAGACTCGC